TCAGTTCCTGGGGATTTCTTAGGTTTTAACTTCTCTATTTTTTTTTGAAGACCATGCACTATCGTCCTGGGTTAAATAAAATTTTTTTTTCAAATTTTTCTAGTATCTTCCCCCAGTAAAAACTGAGAGGGATTAAAAAGTTGAAAATTTACAATTTTTTTTAAATTTCCCGCAAATGATTTGGCCCTGAGTTTTTTTCTTTAATGGGCCCATCTTGTCCCCCAATCTGGGTTACAAAAAACCTTTTTGGGTTAAATTTTTAATCCCTTAATTTAAATTTAAACCTCATATCTCTTTTTTTCTTTTCTTATTCCTTTTTTTATTTTTTCTCTTTAATTGAATATATTTATTTCTTAACTGCCCTTTCCCCCCTTTTTATACGCCTGTAAAAATGCCTCCTTTTTTACCAATGAGATGTTTTAATCTATTGGTTTTTCCCCCCTTTGTGATCTTTTTTTTTTAGATCCCAATTATCCTTTTCGGAAAAAAAGTTGTTTTGGGGAGCAAAAAACTTGCTCTGAAAAACGTCATATTGGCAACCAAGATCACCCACCCACCCCTAGTCCCCGGACATCCCAAATTTTGCCCACCCCGGAATTTTTTAGTCCCAAAAAATTTGCCCAAGGGGAAAGTCTGGAACAGAGACTTATTGCAAATTTTCCGGGGAAAAATTAAAGATATACCTTGGGGCCTAATTAACGCCTGCTCGGGTAGGCCAAAAACGGGTAACGCATCCATTTGGTGGGAAAAAAAAGGCTCGGATACCCCTAAAAAATCGGGGTTTAAAGGGGCTCTTGTCCTTGGGGTTTCATACATGTTTTGCCAAAGAATTGGTCCCAGTTAAACAATGAATAGGATTGCAAGTTTTCCCTTTCAGTCCTGTCTAACCAGCAATTTATTTCCCCTTTCCCTAGCCCTTTCCAAACATTGCCCACCCTTTTCCCCTTTTAGGGAAGAGGGGCATATTATTTGGAAAATTTCCCTTTCCTTTAAAACCCAACTAATCTATGGTTGACCTGAAAATTATTCCCGCATTCCTTCTCCAAAGCCCTTCCCGAAGTTTTTCCCCCAGCACTAAGGGCAGGGTAAAGGGGTTTTTCCCATTATTTTGACATAAATTTTCCAACCGCGAACTATGTCCCCCCAAAAAAACCCGTCCCGGGGGGCACACTTTTCTGTCGGGCCTTTCTATCTTGTTATAAAAAGCACAGGCCTTTTAACTTACCTGAGAAACTCCCTCAATCCTAATGTTTTCTTTTTATTTGCAGGAAAGTCAGTGGCACCTTCAACCTTCCCCTAATTTACTGAAATACACCGTTCTGGAGAAAAGAGAATCTATTTTTCCAAACAAACTAAGGGGGGGGTAAACCTTTTTATCATCCTTTTCCTGAAAAAGGGGAAACCCCTTTCCACTTAAAGCACTGTTTTGGGCTAACAAGTTTAAAAGTTGGGGGCCCATACAGTGGCGTGTAAAAGTTAATTTAAGGGAAAAGGGGAAAGGAAAAAATTTAAAAAAAAATAACAAGGAAGGTGGCGCAGTAGGGGCCTCTGAAGCAGTGACTTTACAACAAATTTTTGTGCCATTTTTAAAAATATAAAGTTTAAGTGGGTTTTTAAAGTGAAGTGTATACTTCATAATGAAAAGTGCAATCGCGTGAGGAACCCAGGGATGTTTTGGCACCTGTGGCTTTTAAACAACAAGGGTGAAAGGGTCTCCAAATTTGGGATTTTTAAAGGGCCAATTTCGGGCGAAATTCGTTTTTCAGTTTTGGCAACTTGTCACCGCAACCCGTTTTCAGTGCAAAATAACACTTACCTATTGGGTTTTGCATGTTGCGGGTATGCCTTACCTTTCATCACTGTTAGAAAACGAAACACTCACTCCTTTCAAGCTATTACCGGAATTAAAAGTAGAAATAGCTAGATAAAATGAAGACAGTTTTGAAAGGGGGGAGGAGGACAGCAAATCTAAGGGGGAGGGGGAACATAGGGGGAAGTAGTATTACTACCAGTAGTTACTAGGGAGTAAGAATGTTTAGGAAGCTAGGAAGTCCCCTCTCAATGGGAACAAAGGGAAAAATTGTTTCTTAAATCCAGAAAGGGGAATAAGTGGGGAGAATAGCATAACTAGGAAAGACAGCTGGGACCCAAAAATTTTTGAAACCCACACGACAGGGGGTATAACGGCTTTAAACCCCACACCCCCTACCCCCCCAAAACCCTCCCCCCCTCACACACACAAAACACACACCAAAACACACACAAACACCCCACACCAAAAACACAGTGGGTTGTGAAAAGTCAGGAAAAAAACCTACGAGTGAAAAAATATAGTTATTAGTTGAAAAAATACGAGGGGGAAACCCAAAATTTAATTTTTTTTAAAAAAAAGGGCCCAAAACCCTTTTTGGGTCTTTTCTAGGCACTGTTGGGCCAAAACAGTTCCCAAAAATAAAAAAAATTTAAAGTGAGTGTGGGAAAAAGGGGGATCAAGAATTTCCGCGTTTTTGGGTTTAAAAAGTGAAATGTGGGGGGAAAAGTAATGTGAGAGTGAAAAGTTTTAAAAGCCAAAAAAAGGGGAAAGAAAAAAAAAAAATATACAAAAAAGGGAAGGGGCAGTAGGCCCACTTTAAACAGTGACGTCACAACAGTTTTATGCCAATTTTTATATAATGTGTAAAAACCGAATGTGAAATGTATTTTGTTTTAAGTGAAAAGTGAATCACTTGAGGAACGGGGGGAGGGTTTAAACAATATGATTAAAAACATCAGGTGAAGGGTTACAAAAAAATGAGAGGAAAGGCCAAAGTACGACCACTACGGCAACAGCTTCTGGCAATTTTCATCACAAACCCCTGTCCGCAAGTATTCCCCCTTTGAGGTTGCATAATTTCAAAAATTGATCTGGTCCTGCTCACGTTAGTTTCTGGTCACTCACTCCTGCAAGCCTTACCAAAATTTGAGTAAAATTGCTAAGGAAAATGGGAAGGTGTAAAGCGGGATTTAGGGATAGTCAGGAAACTTAAGCGAGACAAGCAAATTTTACAAACCAAACTACTTTTTGAATTTTTGAAGGGAAATCGATAAGTTTAAAAAGTATTTGGAAGCTTTGAAAATTTTGGTACTACCGGGATTTTTTAGCCAAAAGAAAAAATTAGAAGTGGGGGCACAACACAAACCACACCCCCACACACACAAAACACACAAAACACCCCACACACAAAAACACACACACACACACACACACGCCCCACCCACACCCTTTAAACACACACATACACATACCCCACATACCCATAACAAAACACAAACATAAAACACACACATACACACACACACCAACACAAAAAACCCCACACACACAACATACCCACACACACACACTCAAACCCCCCAAAACACACACCCAAAACATAAAACACACAAACACACACCCACAAACACACTGTTCCTAAAAAAGGTTTTCCGGGAAAAAACTAGAAGATCAGGCACACATAACAGGAAAAGGCCTCAATGGATCAGAGAATACCTGCAAAGGGGGGCAACAACGAGTCAAGGGACGTGACGAGGTGCAGAGTGGGCGCTTGTGACAAGCGGGGTTCCACAGGGGCAGTCCCCTAGGACCTGTGCTGTTTTGGATTGTGGGAAAGACATAAAGGGAAAGGGGGTAACTCAGAAAATGTCCTTTTTTGCAAAAGGGTTTACGTTAAAGAGAAGAATCAAATCGGGGTGAGGGAAACAGGCAAAACTACAAAAGACCTGGACAAGGGTGCAAGCCTGGGGCCAGCAACTGGCTCCCTTTAGGGTTTAAAAACCCCGCCAAATGCAAAGGGCATGAAGATTGGGGAAGGGGAAAGAAGGGCCCCAGAAAAACCAAAAATAGTTTAGAAAGGCCAAAGACCCGCAAACCCCACTCAAGAAAAAGATCTGGGGGTGGTAAAACACCGAGCATTTTTTCCTGAGGCGCACAAAAACGATAACCCGCTGCAGCAAACGGGCCTGGCCCAAAACCCAGGATAGCGGTTTTCCCTTAAACCCAGTAAGGAGTCGTTTTAAGACCCCCCGTAAACCATTTACTCAGGCCCCTACTGGGGTATGCAGCACCATTTTTGGAAAACCACACCTAGTCAAGCCACATCAAGAAAAATTAAAGAAAGAGCAAAAGGTTTTCAACCCAAAATAGTCCCAGAAAATACGGGGTTGGGGCCTAAAGAAAAAAAGGGTTTAGTGAAAAACGGGCCTTTACACCCCCTGGAGGCCCGGAGAGTCCGGGGTACTATTTAAAAACATAAAAATACTCACGGAACAAAAAGGTGGACCCAAAAACGGGTGTTCCAGGACGGGGCACAGACACAAGAGGTCACCAAAAGAAATTGAAAAATCAGATGAAACCCCAAAGGGGGGTTTTGGAATATTTCTTTTCAGTCATAGAGTGTCAATCCATGGAAAAAGCCTAGAAAGTGGGCGTAGGGGGGGTGGAAAACCATACAAAAGTTTTAAAGGGGAGGTATGATAAAAAATCATGGGGCCAAAGGGAGAGAGAGGACCTAGTACAAACCCGCGAAAAGCGGAAAACCCGGAGCTATTGGGGAAACACCCCCGCAACCACAAAAAGATGATTACAAAGAGGTTGAAATACACACACACACACTGTAAGTAGGGGCAGGTCAAGTCCCCGGAGGGGGGGGGTTAGGTCACAAAAAAAGTTGGTCATCAAGGACCACTGGAAATTCACTTTTTCACCGCCCCAATAAATAAACCCCCCCATAATTTCACACTTTAAATTTCACACACACACACCCACAAAACCCACACACAACACACACACACACATTCCAGAATCACACAAACACTCCCCCCCCCTCCCAAACCCACAATTTTCACTCCTTCCCCTTTATCCCCCCCCCTCCCCCTGTCACCCTCCCCCCCCCCTAAACCCCTCCCCCTTTTCCTTTATCCCTTTTTCCCCCCTCCCCTCACCCCACTTTCTTCTTACAACATCCATCACAATATTATCCCACAAGTTTCATGTGTTAATACATGATGGCTTATTCATCTAAGGAAGAACTTAATGGATATAGACTTGTCAAGGCTGTTACATCCTGTGGTAGAAAAGTCTTGTACAAGACCTTCCTCTGGGGAACCCAGGATAAACCTTCTTATGATACCCTCAAACAGTACTTGATAAACTCACAAAAAGGAGATGAATTGAGAAAATTTAACACCACTCAAAAGATAATGATTGATCAGAATGCAGATGGATCAAAGTTTGATGTGTCACTACTGTACGTGAGCATCAAAGTAGCGTGTAAGACTGTAGCTCCATACAGTGATCCACTATGGTTTACTACCAGTACACAGATGGAGTACTACGTTACTGCTGTTAAGAACATGAGGAATGATTGTTTTCACGGTCAACTTACAATTGAAGATAAAGATTATCTTGAAAATATGAGGAAACTCCGGGAGTTGTTAACTCGTTGTCTTGAGACATCTGGAGACAGGTATGGGAGAGACGATGCTGAAGTGAAGCAGGAGATCCAGGAGATGAATGATGTCCTGGACAACATCATGAAGGAAATTCTTGGAACGAAAGATATACTAACATCTTGTGGTGATGAAATTAAAAATTTTATGATTAATGACAGTTGTAACAAACTTAAGGAGATTTTCCAGAGCATCACCTATGTCAGTCCAGTGTCTTTTATCACTAGTAACTTGAAACTTAAAGTAGCCGATATCTTTGTAGATATTGAGATCAAACATGGACAACGTGGAGATCAAGGTCAACATATAAGTTATCAACACCTTCTTAAACTTGTTCAAACTACATCAGTACCATCACAACAACAAGGTACATCTACTCAACAACAAGGTACATCTACTCAACAAGGTACATCTACTCAACAACAAGGTACATCTACTCAACAACAAGGTACATCTACTCAACAACAAGGTACATCTACTCAACAACAAGGTACATCTACTCAACAACAAGGTACTACTCAACAAGGTACATCTACTCAACAACAAGGTACATCTACTCAACAACAAGGTACATCTACTCAACAACAAGGTACTACTCAACAAGGTACATCTACTCAACAAGGTACATCTACTCAACAACAAGGTACATCTACTCAACAACAAGGTACATCTACTCAACAACAAGGTACATCTACTCGCCCACATATAATACTGCTGGAAGGTGTGGCTGGTAGTGGCAAGACAACTCTAGTAAAGTTAATATTAGATGAATGGACTCAGGGAGGTCAAGGTAATATTAGTGGCTTAGATAATTACGAGCTTCTACTGTGGGTACAGTGCCGGGACCCAACAATGACCTGCTACCAGCAACTCCTGGACAGACTGATGCCAGAAACAGCCATAAAATTCAAGGAAATTCTTCCGAAACTGATGAAGCTTTGCAAGATCTTAATTATAATTGACGGCCTTGATGAAGACAATGAAAGTTCTAGAAGACTTGTCCAGAGTCTATTGCATGAATTTAAGTACTGTTCTAATATTGCTTTTCTGTGCACTTCACGACCAGAAAAAGTTGAGAACTTTAGGAAAACAATCCCTGCAGAGTATACTGTGCAACATGCAACACTGCATGGTATATCTAGGGAAAATTTAGAACAATTCGTGAGACTGAACCACCAACAAATAATGGTACAAACAGGGAATAACAGAAATACTGAAGAACTGATAAGAAACGTGATCAAGTTAAAAGGACTTCATGAACACTTAAAACTACCAATGAATTTGATTCTTATGATATACATCTGGGACCAAGACCCTGACCAGCTAAACTTAACATCTGTCACTCACACAGAGCTATTTTATAATATTCATCAACTGTGTAAACAAAAGTTAACAGAGAGACTGACCAACCATCAAGGTATAAACAATATGGATTTATCTGACAATTTAAACATAATATTGATGGATATATACAAGACAGCGCTCGAAAGTCTTTCACGTGATCAGTTAGACCTTGAAGTAAACACTTTAAACAATCTTAAAAGAAAATGTGATCAACTGTGCTTACCTTATAAAGAAGTGTTGTCAGCGTTCCTTTGTTTAAGACCAACATGGACGATGCTGGGGATCAAGGAGCAGTACTCAGCTCCTCACAAGGGAATACAAGACTACTTCGCTGCTCTCTATATTGTCAACAATCTTAATAACCCACAGTGTTCTACACCTACACCTGCCTCAGCTACACCTGCCTCTGCCACACCTGTCAGTATCAGGGGAGTGTTGGAAGAGAGCATCAGGTCAGGTGTGGAAGACATGAACAAGTACCAGAATGTTCTGATACATGTGGCTGGGCTGCTGCACCTGGTACTAGACCAGGTACCCGAGACATCTGTACTGGAAGTGGTTCATCTCCTAAAAGAGTCTGATATGAACAACAACAAGTGGCTTGACCTCCTTGACAACACTAAGATGTCTCCAGTAATTGTCAAAGAAATATCTCTCTGCATCAATACTAAAGAAGTATTTGAGGTACTTGATGGATATGTGAGAAGCTACGCAGCTCTCCTGCCACTCCTCAGCTCCTGCAAGGTGAAGATTAATATATACGGTGACCCTGGTGACCTGCCTAGCCTGCCTGACCTGCTGGCTGCCCTCACCAACCACCACTGTACACACCTGGCACTGAGGCACCACTACTATCAAGCTGACGCAACCACCGCTTCTGACGACCATCTGCAAAGTCTACAGCATCGGTGAGTTGTTGTTATTGTTAATAATATTAATGTATATGATAACATTATCCTTATCTTAACATTATTGTTAATGTTAATGTCACTGAATGTAATAACATTGTTTTTCTATTAACATTTTAGGTGTTATGAGCATATGAGAGGTTTTTACAAAGTAGAAGTGATGCAAAGAGGGAGGAATATATGGAGAGCAAAAGAGAGGTGAAGAGAGTGGTGAAGCAATGTAAAAAGAGAGCCAGTGAGAAAGTGGGTGAGATGTTATCAGTAAATTTTGTTGAAAATAAGAAAAAAATTTGGAGTGAGATTAATAAGCTGAGGAAGCCTAGGGAAAGAATGGGTTTGTTAGTTAAAAGCAGGAGAGGAGAGTTATTAAATGGAGAGTTAGAGGTATCGGGAAGATGGAGGGAATATTTTGAGAAATTGTTAAATGTTGATGAAGATAGGGAAGCTGTGATTTCGTGTATAGGACAAGGAGGAACAACATCTTGTAGGAGTGAGGAAGAGCCAGTTGTGAGTGTGGGGGAAGTTCGTGAGGCAGTAGGTAAAATGAAAGGGGGTAAGGCAGCCGGGATTGATGGGATAAAGATAGAAATGTTAAAAGCAGGTGGGGATATAGTTTTGAAGTGCTTGGTGCAATTATTTAATAAATGTATGGAAGAGGGTAAGGTACCTAGGGATTGGCAGAGAGCATGCATAGTTCCTTTGTGTAATGGCTATGGGGACAAAAGAGAGTGTAAAAATTATAGGGGGATAAGTCTGCTGAGTATACCTGGTAAAGTGTATGGTAGAGTTATTATTGAAAGGATTAAGAGTAAGACGGAGAATAGGATAGCAGATGAACAAGGAGGCTTTAGGAAAGGTAGAGGGTGTGTGGACCAGGTGTTTACAGTGAAACATATAAGTGAAGAGTATTTAGATAAGGCTAAAGAGGTCTTTGTGGCATTTATGGGTTTGGAAAAGGCGTATGACAGGGTGGATAGGGGGGCAATGTGGCAGATGTTGCAGGTGTATGGAATAGAAGATAGGCTATTGAAAGCGGTGAAGAGTTTTTGCGAGGATAGTGAGGCTCAGGTTAAAGCATGTAGGAGAGAGGGAGATTATTTCCCAGTAAAAGTAGGCCTCAAACAAGGATGTGTGATGTCACTATGGTTGCTCAATATATTTATAGATGGAGTAGTAAGAGAAGTGAATGCTCGGGTGTTGGCAAGAGGAGTGGGGTTAAAAGATAAAGAATCTAACACAAAGTGGGAGTTGTCACAGTTGCTCTTTGCAGATGACACTGTGTATTTGGGAGATTCCGAGGAGAAGTTGCAGGGAGAGAGTAGGAGGAGGTAAATGTATTCAGATATTTAGGAGTGGACGTGTCAGCAGATGGGTCTATGAAAGATGAAGTGAATCACATAATTGATGAGGGGAGAAAGGTGAGTGGTGCACTGAGGAGTTTCTGGAGATAAAGAACTTCATCCATGAAAGCAAAGACGCGAATGTATGAGAGTACAGTTATACCAACGCTCTTGTATGGGTGTGAGGCATGGGTTGTGAATGTTGCAACAAGGAGAAGGCTGGAGGCAGTGGAGGTGTCATGTCTGATTGCAACGTGTGGTGTGGTGCAGAAAATCTGTAGTTTGGAGATTAGGAGGAGGTATGGAATTACCAAAACTATTATCCAGAGGGCTGAGGAAGGGTTATTGAGATGGTTTGGACATGAAGAGAGGATGCAACGAAGTAGAATGACTTCGAGAGTGTATAAATCTGTAGCGGAGGGAAGGCGGGGTAGGGGTCGGCCTAGGAAAGGTTGGAGGGAGGGGGTAAAGGAGGTTTTGTGTGCAAGAGTGCATTAGCGTGTTAGATAGGTGCGAATGGAGACAAATGCTTTTTAGGACTTAACGTGCTGTTGGAGTGTTAGCAAGGTAACATTTATAAAGGGATTCAAGGAAACCGGAAGGCCGGACTTGAGTCCTGGAGATGGGAAGTGCAGTGTCTGCACTCTGAAGGAGGGGTGTTAATGTTGCAGTTTAAAAACTGAAGTGTAAAGTACCCTTCTGGCAAGACAGCAATGGAGTGAATGATGAAAGTTTTTTTTTCGGGCCACCCTGCCTTGGTAGGAGACGGCCGATGTGTTAATAAAGAAATAAGAGGTGTTAACATTGTTGTTGGTATTACCACAAGAACATAAGATAGAAGGAACACTGCTGCACGCCTACTGACCCATGAGAGGCAAGTCCAATTCTCCCACCAGCTTAAGCCAATGCCTTAGCCTAGTCAGGTCAGGTCACATTCACTTAAGGGAGGAGCACGGTATCTGACCTGGTAGCACAAGCTAGTCAGGTCCAACTCACACCCACCCACACCCAATCATGTATTTATCTAACCTATTTTTAAAACAACACAAGGTCTTAACTTCTATGACGGTGCTCGGGAGTTCGTTACACTCATCCACAACTCTGTTACCAAACCAGTGCTTTCCTATATCCTTCCTGTATCTGAATTTTTCCAGCTTAAAGCCATTGCTGCGAGTCCTATCTAGACTAGGTATTTTTAGCACGCTATTTGCATCCCCTTTATTAATTCCTGTTTTCCATTTATACACCTCAATCATATCCCCCCTAATTTTACACCTTTCTAGAGAGTGCAGATTCAGGGCCCTTAGTCTATCCTCATAGGGAAGATTTCTGATACATGGAATCAACTTTGTCATCCTCTCTTGCACGTTTTCCAGAGCATTTATATCCATTCTGTAATAAGGTGACCAGAACTGAGCAGCAGCATCTAAATGAGGCCTAACCAAGGATATATAGAGTTGAAGAACAACCTGAGGGCTTCTATTATTTATACTTCTTGATATGAAGCCAAGGATTCTGTTAGCTTTATTGCGAACACTAATGCACTGTTGTCTTGGTTTTAGAATACTGCTAACCAGAACTCCTAAATCCTTTTCGCATTCAGTAATATTATAATATACATTATTTAGTTTATGTGTCATGATTATTTTCCTGTACAACATTTAGAACCTTGCATCTGCCACTTCTCTGACCATTGCATCAGTCTACTCAAATCATCCTGGAGTGCTCTAATGTCCTCACTAGAATGAATTGGACTGCCTATTTTGGTGTTATCAGCATATTTGCTTATGTCGCTATTTATTCCCTCATCTACGTAGGGGCCCAACACTGACCCCTGTGGAGAACCGCTTGTGAAGTGCCCCCAGCCTCTCTGCTGCCTATTTGTCAACCATGCTTCCACGAAGGAAAAAATTTCTCTTGTTATTCCTTGTGCCTTAATTTTCCTCAACAGCCTCTGATGTGGAACTCTATCGAAAGCCTTACTGAAGTCTGTATACACAATATCATATTCAATACCATGATATACCTACTCAAATACCTTAGTGAAATAAGTTAGCAAATTTGTAAGACAGGAACGCCCCTTCGTAAAAGCGTGCTGAGATTCATTAATCAATTTATGCCTTCAAGATGGCTACGAATTGCCTCGGCAATTATTGATTCCATAAATTTTCCCACTATAGAGGTAAGGCTTATTGGTGTATAGTTCGAACCTAAGGACCTGTCACCTGCCTTGTAAATTGGTATTACATTTACCATTTTTAACTTGTCTGGCACTATGTCAGTTTGTAGTGATATATTGAAAAGATTAGCCAAAGGTTTGCTAAGTTCCTCTTTACATTCCTTTTACATCCTTGCCAACAGTTCATCAGTTCCTGGGGATTTCTTAGGTTTTAACTTCTCTATTTGTCTGAAGACCATGTCACTATCGTCCTGCTCTACATAATTTATTATTTCTAGAATTTTGCTAGTATCTTCCTGAGTAAAAACTGAGAGGAAGTAAGAGTTGAAAAGTTCACACATTTTCTTATTCCTGTCAGTGATCTGGCCTGAGTTACTCTTAAGTGGGCCTATCTTGTCCCTAATCTTGCTTACATGAAAGAACCTTTTGGGTTAATCTTTGAATCCCTTATTAATTTAGCCTCATAATCTCTTTTTGCTTTTCTTATTCCTTTCTTTATTTCTCTCTTTAATTGAATATATTGATTTCTTAACTGCCCATCCCCTCTTTTGATACGCCTGTATATGCCTCTCTTTTGACCAATGAGATGTTTTAATCTATTGTTTATCCATTTGTGATCATTTTTGTTAGATCTAATTATCCTACTCGGAACAAAAGTTGTCTGGGCAGCTAGAACTATGCTCTGAAAAACGTCATATTGGCAACCAAGATCACCTACCTAGCCCATAGTCAGGACATCCCAATTTAGCCCACCCAGGTAATTTTTCAGTCCCATGAAATCCGCCAAGTGAAAGTCTGGAACAGAGACTTGATTGCAATTATCCGGGTAACTTCATGATATACAGTGGACCCTCAATTAACGCCTGCATCGGATAGCGCCAAAATCGGATAACGCATCACTTTGGTGTAAAAAAAATGGCTCGGATGACACCTAAAAACTCGGTTAGGAGCTCTTGTCCTTGCATACATATCATGTTTGCCAAAGAATTGGTCCCAGTTATCAATGAATAGGATTGCAAGTTCCTTGCAGTACCTGTCTAGCCAGCAATTTATACCAATTGCCCTAGACATCCATTCATTGCCCACTCCCCTTCTAGGCAAGATGCTGCATATTATTTGGATTCCTTCCTTAGACCTAACTACATCTATGGTTGACCTGTACTTATCCAGCATCTCCTGTCTCATGCCCTTCCCGATGTTATTTCCACCAGCACTAAGACAGATAATGGGCTTGTTCCCATTATCTGACATAATATTATCCAACCTGCTGACTATGTCACCAGCACCAGCTCCTGGGAGGCACACTCTCTGTCTGACCTTTCTATCTCTGTTATAAAAAGCACAGGCCATATAACTTACCTGAGAATCTCCCTCAATCATAATGTTCTTTCTTTGATTAGCAGGAAAGTCAGTGGCACCTTCAACCTCACTAATCACTGAAGTACACTCGTTCTGGAGAACAGAGAATCTATTTCCTATCATCACATCGTCTCTATTAACCTTTCCTATCATCCTTCTTCCTGAATTGTGAACCACTTTCCACTTAAAGCAGCTGTTTGGCTAACAAGTGAAATGTGGGGCACCATACAGTGAGCGTGTAAAAGTTAATAAGCAAAAGGAGAAAGGAAAAATAAAATATATAACAAGGGAAGGTGGCAGCAGTAGGCCTGCTGAAGCAGTGACTTCACAACAAGTTGTGTGCCATTATACATATAAAGTGAAGTGTATATAATGTGAAGTGTATACTATCATAAGTGAAAAGTGCAATCGCGTGAGGAACGAGGGATGTATGAGCACATGTGGCTATAATCAACACGGGTGAAGGATCTCCAAAATAGGGATTTAAGGCCTACATACGACGACTTCGTCATCAGCATCTGGCAACTTGTCACCGCACCGTTGTCAGTGCAAGTATCACTCACCTATTGTGGTTTGCATGTTGCAGGCTATGGCTTCTGTCCTTGCATCACTGTTAGATACTGATCACTCACTCCTGCAAGCTATTACCGGAATTAGAGTAGAAATAGCATAGATAAAGTGAAGACAGTGTTGACGGGTGTGAGGAGGACAGCAGTCTAGCGAGGGGTAACAT